GGGGGAGAAAGGCAAAACGCCCCTAATTTTGAGCTTGTGGCACAGGGAGAGCCCTGAGGTGTTGGCTTTGAAGCACCAGGTTTGAACGCTCAGCTCAGTACCTTTAACTCTTAAAAGCAGGTTTAATTTCCACTTGCTGGAAGTGCAAATTCAGGTTTAATTTCCACTTGCTGGAAATGCAAATTCAGGTTTAATTTCATGTGCTTGAAATGCAAGTTACAACACAGGATAACATAATCATGTATTATTTATCCTGGACAACTTCCCCTCTCCCCAGGAGACACTGAGCACAAATACTACACCCATCAAGCTTCATTTTTCAAGGATTACACACAAAGAGTGTCACAATTAATCTTTAACTGGCATCCAGCAGGATCAGACTATACATTCCTTAGGCTGCCACACACTGCATAATTAACCTATAAAAAGCAACAGATACAGGTTAAACATTGCTAAATATACCTTAAGATATGTTAAAGGGACTGCAAGAGAGATTTTAAAGAGCTCTGTACCTCGAGTTGTAAATTCTTTACAGATAAGTTTCTCTGCAACCACGAAACACCTCAGAGTGGTTTCCAACAAGAGAAATGAATCACCCCTCGACACTCTCCAGAGGAAGGGAGTTTATTCCCAGGGAAATACCAGGAAGTTGGAAGACAAGTGTGCACCCTTCTGGAGCTCTGACCCACAATGTAATTGTTACACAACTCTACAGGCTTCCAAAAAATATTCATACGAGCACTAATTATATTATTTAAAAATCTTGAATAACCAGACGAGATTTTAATAGATGGGTCACCAGATACTTCACAAGCACAGCTCCAAAAGGCTACAGAATTAAACTGTCAAAGAGACAGATTTCAGTCCCACTCCTTTAGCCAGAAACAAGCAATACTGCATGGAAGGCCAATTCCTAACCTGGCCACCAGAAGCGCCACAATAAACCACAAACAGGTATCACTCCTTTTTAAGGCCTCGAAATCCACCTAGTCACTGCTGCCACTGAATCACTCCCCTCAGCTTTTGGAGCATCAAAGGTTTTATCCCGGAGTTGCCATAGAAGTGTAACATTTATCACTGTGGCCTAAAGACAGAATGCTGTAAGTTATTTATAGGTGCTAAAGCCACCACAAGTGTCCTGCCCCAAAGCCAAGGCTGGAGTTTGTTTAGGGCTCGAGTTGAAAGACCAAAATTCTACACAGAGGGTTGTAAATCCTATTACTGCAGTGAGTAAGAGTGATCAAGTGTTTACTTGTAATACCTTGACTAAACATCACAGCCTGCACTAATTCCACTTTGCTCTTAAAGATGTAAAACAACAGAGCAAACAAATGACATTTGACGCGAGAAATGAAAAGTTTTCCTGTTTCTGGGGGGGGATTAATCTGGTGTCAAAGTGTCAGAACTCACCCCATGGGTCAGAAAGCATCTCTAGTTAAAGTCCTTGATGGGGATTATTGCTTGTCCAGCCATTATCAAAGTGGAATGGAGCTGAGGGGCTGGTCATTATTGATTGGCTACAGGAAAACAACAGCTGGATCTTCGAGAGGAAGCAGCACACGCATTTCCCTACCCAAAATCTGGAAAATTCAAAGTCTGTGGCTTGGCACAGAATCCCCTTTGCCTCAGTGAACACACAGTGATGCCAAGGTCTGCTGAAAACAGGACATCCCTGGTGAGCTCCCCTCCACCTCAGCACAAGGTGCAGGCACAGAGGCCCAACAGGTCCCTCACTGGAGCATTTTGACCCCCAAAGCACAAAGATGTGTTTTTGTTTCCTAGACTCAAGCCCAGCTCAATAAGAACACGCTCACAGTCACTATTTTTTTTGTTCCCAGCACAGAAAGCATCCTGCCCATGCAGCACTGTGGGTGAGCTGGTTGTTCTTCTCCCCATTAAGGTGCAGAACAGTTGCCCTCTGGTTTTCTGGAATGTGCCTTCCCTGCGCTTCGCAGCCACAGCAAACCTCCCCAGGGAGACTTCCAGCCTGAGACAGGCAGGTGAGCACTCACCCCCATCCACCTTCCTGCCCTCCCTTCCGGGCAGCTGGGAGTGGCCTGGTGATTCCCTGGTTTAGTGTTAAAAGTTATCCAAAATAAAGATACATAGTTAAATCTGTGTTAAAAGCTCGCCCTCTGGGATTTTTTCATCCTCCTTCCTGCCCGAACACCAGGATGGGAACAAGGGGGTTGTGTTTTGTTTTTTTTTTTTTACAACCTGGAACCTGTCAGCTCCCTGTTGTTCCTCCAGACATGCCCTCAGTGGTGGTGGGGGTGCAGGATTTCCCACTGCCAGGTGTATCCACTGCTCCAGGAATTCCCTGAGCAACCCCCCCTGCGCGGCAAACAATATTAAAAACACCTCCACAACACTAAAACCTGCAAAGCAGCCACCGGTGCCAGAGGAAGCCTCCGAGGGCTGGCTCTCCCTGGATCCCAGCGCGGATCCCAGGGCTGCTGTTCGACGCTCCTCTCCTCGGCAGCAACGCTGGCTTAAAAAGCCACACTGCTCCCCTCCCCCCGAAGTGTTATTTTTAACCGGGATGATTTCAGTGATCCCATTTACAGCCCCACAGCTGTAGCAGGACTGAGGAGCAGCACCTTGGGTGCGGAGACAGGAATAGGTGGCCGGGATTAAGGCGGAAGAGATTGGGAATTTCTCGGGCTGGCGTTTTCAAACCGAGCCCCGCAGAGGCTGGAAACCAAAGCCTGGGCTAGAACCAGACCTACGAGGAGATTTACGTTTTCAATATTTCTGTCACATGACACAAAACTTACTCATCTCTGCTCGGGTTCCTCCAGGTCCCCGAAGTCACAAGATTCCCCATCATCCCCTGCCTTTCCCCCTTCCCGGGGAGAGCCACTCGCTCTCCTCTCTACCTGTGCTTCACATTCGGCAGGTTTATTCATTGCCTCATTTTAGAACAAGGTTTAACCACCTCCTCGGACCAGGATTTGAATCCGCTCCCATCTCAGATTAAAAAAAATCTCCCTCAAACGTTTTTTAAGCTCTCTGTGCAACCCCCTCGTTTTTAGGGAAAGGAGGAAACAACCCTTACAGTTATCCCTTACAGTTCTGCACCCATTTCAAATCACAGGGAAAGACAGGAAGGCAAATTTGGGTGGCAGAGCAGCCTGAGAATGACTGGGAGACTTCAAGGATTTCATCAAACTGATGAAACAAATTTCTGGCTTTGAAGCACGAGCGCACAGGGAAGGTCTCTGCCTTTCAGAGAAGGCTGAAAGCTCAGTGTTTTAGGTCTGCAACCCCCTCCCCGGCGCTCTCCCAGCCTCTCCACCACACCGAGGCCTACCCTTACCGTGCCACACCGGGCACTTCTCCTTTCACCGCATAAATTAGGCTTTTTCCAGCAAAATCCCCAGCCATCCGAAAGCCTGGATGGAGCTGCGGGCAGCTCGCCGGGGGCTGAGCAGGGGAGTGAGGTGGGGAACTGGGGGGGGGGTGCTCCCCATGG